CCAGTGGCCAGGAGGGTCCTCCTAGGCCCAGGGCCCATAGACAGCGCCTAAGCCGAGGGGCGGAAACATGGGGAGTTCCCCATGGGACAGTGCATGCTCAGCAAGGGCCACACTTGAGAGCAGAGGGGGGCCCATAGGCCAGCCGCTTCTCCCTTCCAGTCTGAGAAGGGCCTCAATACGGTGCTCAGCATCGAGCCCGGCCCTGCGGGTCTTCCAGGACCTCTGACCTGCACCTGTGATGGGAGGGTGTCTGTTTTTTAGGGTCTTGGAGAGGCATGTGGGGCAGAGGGGGGACACCAACCCTAATCTGCTATTTAGCAGTCACAGCTGATCTGATGGGCTGCTCCTGCAGGGGCCTGACAGGTCCTGCTGGACAAAGCTCACTCACTGTGTGGGGCTGCCCTCTAAACCAGGGACGGCCCTGTAGAGAAGCCACAGCGCACTGGTGCCAATCACCTTCAGCACATCTAGCGACAGGAGCTCAGGGCTGGCCAAGTCCCAGCAGCAGGCATGGCTAACTTGTCCTCCCAGGAAAGCATGGGTCAATTCCTTTAAACTGACCAGCAGCGAAGCACAGCAAGAACCAACCCGGGAGCTGCCCACTGAGCCTGTACCGTGCGAGGCAGAAAACAAGATCTCGGCACCCTCCCAAGCCAGCCAAGGCCAAGAGCCCACGCGGCTCTGGAGTGACCACCTACTCACATCACTGCCAGAGTGGGTCGGGGCCATCAGGGCAGTGTCCTGCAGCAAGGTGAGTTTACAGAGATCCCCAGACAGCCATCTGTGCCCACCTGGGGACAAAGCGGGTTTGCTACCAAGGGGCAGAGAGGTTGCTGCAAGGGACAGAGAGCTGTAGAAAGAGGCCAGAGGACAATGGGGCCGATAGAAGCAGCACTGTCAGAGCAGGCCCAGTCCTGGCCAGGTGCCTCCAGTGACTGTGACCTCTGGTAGCCACCACCCCACAAGCCCCAGAGGCAGTTCAGTTCCTTGCCGCCCTGACAGACAAGGACAGAAGCACAGAGCAGGAACACACTGGCCCCAGCATGCAGCGGGCAGAGCAGCGAGCGGAGCTCGTGGCTGCCCTGGGTGAGTCCCTGGGCCGAGACCCGCTGCCTTCCCGGGAGCAGTGTCGAGAACCCAGTGTCKAGAACCCAGGCCTCAGCCTGGTGCGACAAGCTGCGGGAACAAAGGGTGCAGCCGCTGCAGGCTGCCGGGTTTTCTCAGGGCAGGAGGACCACAGTGGAGACAGGGCAAGGAGCCATGGGCACTGAGAATAGGGATAGCCTAGGGGGCTGAAGGTGGAGAACAATGACCCAGAGCCCCAGTGGGAGAGGCGGCTCCTGGATTTGGAGGCTTGGCGGGAGGAAGGGTCCTGGGAGAGGCCTGCTTGTATACAAACCCCTTCCTGCTCCCAGATGCCAGAATGGCTGGACCACACATGTCTACGTCATACCGCAGGAAGAGATGCCCCAGGAGACAGAATGCCAGGCCTCGCACACGCCRGCTCAGGTACACCAGCCTCCAGGGGCCTCCCTTGCCCTGACCACAAGTTGGGCTGTGATGCTCCTCACAGAGGCTGCTCCAAGAACAGGGTGGCTGGGCGACTCTGGTGCTCCCGACTCCAAGGGCCCCACAAGGGCCTCTGTGACACACTACAATCACAACGACTGTCTTTTTACACCACGATCTTTCCTGGACCCCCAACTGAAGGCAAAGAGCGAGTCTCGTCCCCCTGTGAAGTCCAAATGCAGCCCCTGAGCTTACACAGCACCTGCCTGTCCCATCAGCTTCCTCCAACTTTGGAATCCTGAAGGGCTGGAGCCCTCAGACCCCTTCCCCAAATGCCCCTATGCAGAGCTGCATCTTCCCGGGCTGGTCCACCTAGAGGTGGGAAGTGGTGGAGCCCAGCTGCCCTGGGAGGCCTTCTCCATCATCCTCCCATCTGAGGGTTCAAGAGTTGAAGACCCTCCAGGCCAGCGGCCTATGCTCTGTCCAGCACAGACACCAGTGTGCAGAGGATGCCTCAAAGCCGAGGGTCATCAAGCACCTGTGATGGGGTCTAAGGGAGGCACCTCCTTCCTCAGACTCTCAAGTGGTTGAAAGGTTTCTCCTGGGGCTAATTTCTACCCAGGAGACGGGTGCCCACACCCATGATGCTGGAGTCCTGTATCAATTTTGGTGCCCCCACTGTCACCCCACTGTCAGCAGTCAGCCTCTTAACAGCCTGGGCTCCTCCTCTGACCTGAGGAGTCCTCAGCTGGGCCCTCAGTGGGGGGCCCATGGTGCTTTATCCATCCAGTTGCTTCAAAGACAAAAAGCTGGAGGCAGAAGCAGACCTCCCAGGGAGGGAGACAGGACTGCGTTTCTCACAGGGAAACCGAAGCTGCGCTGCCCCTCGGCTGAGCCTCCTGCAGGCCGCCAGCTTTGCTCTATGTTAGGAAGACAAGGATGAAAATGGCGCTAGCACTAGTAGCTGACTGGATGTGCCCCTTGCCACCCGGCACTGGGAGGCTCAGGAGGGAGCAAGCCCTTGACCACGGGTGACAACATGTGACAGCCACTGTTGGAAGGCTCTGCAGTTTGTGCCACAGCCAGCCAGGTCAGCAGGAATGGGAGCAGCCCCACCAGGCGCTGCTCACATGGGGCTGACCACAGCCCATTAGTCCTGCACATCTCTGCTGGCTTCACCTGTCGCTCTGAACCATTGGGTCACAGGCTGCACTGTGCCAGCAAACAGGAGCCCATCGTTTTTGTGCACAAAGCCAACCATGAAGAAGCAAGCGCTAAAATATCCAAAGCATGGAAAAAAGAAAAGCCGACACTCTCTCTCCTCTCCAAAGGGCACAGGAAAACAAGTCCACTTCCTAGGCATTCCTGCTCCCTAGAAGGATGACATACTCATGTGCTGCCAAGGAGGGACACAGCTGGACTGAGGATCTGAAGATCGCCACCTGTTGGCTGGGAGGCAAGGTGGGCTCCCCAGCAAGCAGCAAGCATCCCTGGTCCAGGGTGCTTTCCTTTAAGGCAAACATGACCTCCCAAGGCTCAGCAACCCTGCCTGGGGCAAGTGACTACAGGCACACTGTCCAGTCTCCTGCTGCCTCCAACACACCCAAACCTGCTGCACAAGTGGCATTTGCACAGCGGAAAAGCTACAGGGGATGCCAAGCCCCTGCCCCCACCCCGATGAGGAAGAGTCATAATGCCACACGGAACGTATAAGGCACAGGGATGACAACTGCTGCTATGGGACAGATCATTTGACAGAGAATTCGCTTGCTGGCAGACTTCCGACTGCAGACTTCTTCAGCACTGGCTGGCTGCCATGCCAAGGAAATAAAAATCGATATCCTCGGGTCTGCAAAACAGTGTGTTAACAATCACACTCCAAACAACTCACACAATATCCCTCGCCCTAGACCCAAATAACAGTGAGTGTTTTTGTTAGGAGGCAGTGCTAAATAAACAGAAAGGAGGGGGAAAAATAAGGCAATTTTGCAGGTCCTCCTTCAGCAAAACCTTTCCACAACTTCAATGAGGAGATAATCTTTCTGTGATTATGACCAAACCTTCCCGTTGCTTAGCAACACATAATTAAGGAATATGTTTTCAGATCCGCTTTGCAAGCCCAGCCATTATCAGATGAAATTACTGGAGCAACAAATGTCATCGCCATGCAAATTAGTTGGTTGCAAAGAAAGACTGGCGGAGAAAGAAGGAGCAGGCCCTCAGAAAAATTATCTGACTCGCCTCCTCTCGCGCATTGATTAAAAGTCAAGCAAAGTATATGATCAGACTTAAAAAAAAAAAAMCATCCACATGACACACAACCAGAATCTCCAGCAAGGGAAAAACAGAAAAATTACTTGGTCTTTTTTTGGAAGAATGAAGAGCCTAGAGGATCCTCCTGGGACAACAGTGGCCATGACAGCCACCCGGGGCTCAGCTGTCCTGGGGGGAACCTAGGAGTGCACGACCCGGTTCCCGACACCATCTGCTACGGTCAAAAGGGTGCATCTCGCTTTTCAGCATGGTTCCACCCTCTGCCCAATAATGCCAGTTACTGAGGAAAAAAAAAATTGTTCATTCGATAAAGGATTCACTATGTTGTGAAGGCAAAGGGAGAAGAAAGGAAGAAAACAGATTTACTGTGTCGATTTTCAATCAAGATTCTAAAATTAAAATTAGAAATTCTGACGGCTTAGGTTAGCAGCCTAGAAGTTTAGGCCCAGCCCAAGGAAACACAGGCAGTAAATCACACGTGGCTCATGCTTTGAAGGAAACCAGTGAGCACCAACCTCCCTTTCCTCAACTTGGAAATATATTCTTCCCTACAAGCAAACAGAATTCCCAACTGTATTTCCCAAAACGAGAGACTAAATCTGTTTTTGAAACACGGAGTTCTAAGGGATTTCAACATCTTGCTTTGTTTAACCCACAAGTGTGGAAACACACATTTTTATCTTTATGGTGGGTAATCCCTGTCTTCAAGAGCGCGTGCAGGCGCTGTGGAGGTACCCTTCCACACCAAGATGTGCTCTTAATGGTACAGGAACGGCGCAGGATTTATGGGAGGTGTTTGAGCAAACATCCCTGCCTTTTCCAAAGCCACCCAGGGCAAACTGGAGAATCGCCAAGCCTTGTGCATGGAAGGTCACAGCCTGTTCTGAATGTCGAGTCTCTCCAGGACACAGCTCCAGCACTACAAAGGGAAATCCGCAAAGCAACCTGGATTCCACAAGAGATTGGCGAGGTGCTGCTGCCCCAGAGGGCCAGCCTGGCAACGTGACTCTACGGAACCCAGGAGAACCCATGTCCATTGTCCAGCCTTGGAGCTGGACCTGGCACTGTGGCCTTCCAGCTTGGCAGAGCGAGACTATGTGGGTATATGTGCCCACGGCCCAAGTGGGACCTGTAGGAACCCATCTCCCTTCTCAAAGCTCTGCCTCCCCCCCACATCCCTAGGGGCCCTGCCAGGAGAGGTGGGAAGGGTGCATTACTTGGCTCCGGTGTGAGCATGGTGGACACGATGATGGGTGCTCCAGTCCGCCGGGCTACCTTCTGGTATGGTGAATGAGGTGTGTGCAGGCTTTGGCTGACTGGCGTCAGGGTAGATGACTCCATGGAGACCCCAGGCTTCCGCAGGAGCTGGGGGCTGCTGTGGGGGCTGGGAAGTGGAGAGGTGGCCATGCTGCGCTCCCGCTTCAGCAATTCCATGGGTACCGTGTACGAGGTGGAGTAGGCTGTTCTGGGGCCTGGGTGGAGGGGGGTCGAGGGCCCTGGGTTAGTCAAGGCCGCCCCAGCCTGTGAGGGGTATGTGGGGCCCAGCCGTGTGGTCAGGGTACAAGGCGTAGGAGAGCTATACCCAGAGTTGGAGGAGACTTGGGGTCCTTGGGGGGCTACACCAGGGGCAGAGTAGGTGGCTGCCTCCAGAAGATGCTGAGAGGGTGCACTGGAGGGGCGGCGAGCCAGGTCTCCGGCCCTGGGGGGTGCCGCCTGCAGGGGTGTGGTGTCCAGAGAAGCCAAGTCACTGGGCAGCAGTTCACTTCGGTGGCTGAAGCTGCTGGACCGTGTGCGGGGCAGGGGACCTGCCTGGTCCTGCCTCCGAAACTGCATCTCAGTCCTGCAGCTGCTGGCCAGGCGGCTCAGGACTCGAGCCTGGCCCAGGTTGGGCGCAACAGACTTGATATCCGCATCCTCCAGGGTGGCCAGGACGGCTGGAGAGTCAAAGCCTTGCTGCAGCAGGGCCGCCAGAGTGGCCTCTGTGAGCCCCTCTGCCCGCAGCAGGGCCAGGAACTCAGGGACAACATTCCTCTTGCTGAGGGGCCCCTGGAACGCCAACAGGTCAGCTTCATAATTCTCATAAGCCATTTTAGACTGGACGCTGTCCCTAGCAGGCCCATAGCCTCGACTCAGAGGACCAGGGGCCACCCCGGTGCTGCTCTCAGAGGGAGCAGCCGAGCCAGGGTCCACGACCAGGCATGTTGGGGCCACCTGTCTGACAGGGGCAGAATCCACAGGTCTTTCGCCAACATCGTTGTAGACCTGGCTTGGGGGGTAGGCAGGTCCCTCTGCCCCAAACCTGGTGTCCGGCAGTTCCCTTCCATACCGACCAGGCGACGGGGCCCTGCTCTGTGGCCGCTGCCCCTGAGACATCATTTTGCCCCCAGGATCCTGGTACAGGTGCCCGGTGTCCTGCAGGGCAGGTAACTGGCCTTGGACATGCTCCCACGGCACTCTGCTGCCGAGCACTCCGTAGCTGGGCATGGGCCGGTTGATACCTGCGTCCYGATAGTAAGGTGGCTCCCTGGGCACCCTAGTTCCTCTGGTCGGGTCGCCATAGTAATCCCGCGGCAGCAGGGCGTGGCGACCAGACATCACGGCGGCCTGGGTAAAGTCGGGAGCAGAGCCCTTCCTTGCAGCCAGCGAATTGTAAAAGGCTTCCCGGTACAGGTAGGGTTCTGCGGGCCCTGGCAGGACAGCGTCCTGCGCTTGGTAGATTGGCGGTTCACACCAGGTCCCCTCTCCAGGGCCATACGTCAAAGAGCTTCTCCTCCCTGGGGGGCGCGCGGCCTCGGTGTTCTCCCAGGGGCCCTGGTACCAGCCAGCAGCATCCCAGCTCTGCGATCGGCCAATATTGACGTGCCTGCTGGGAACCGGCATCGGTAGAACAAGTGACTGCAGACGAGGCGCGGGGGACGGCTTTCTTCATAAATCTTCAATTACATACATCAAAACCAGACCCAGCTACAYGCGAACCCTTCCGAGATGGCAGCAACAACCAACTGGGGGTTTCTGTTTCAGAGGACGGCCTAAATTATTAATCCTCCGAAACCTTAGTAGGCAAAGCAGCAGACTCACGGTAACTTTGCCTCCCTCCCCGGCGGTGGCCCGAGGTCTGTCCTATGYGGCTGTGTGCTCCAGCCAGCTGGGTCCCCCTCCTGGCTTCTGTGCTCACGTGGACCTTGGCTCTCAGCAGGCGGATTAGGGGCTAAATAAAACCCCTAAAGCTTTTGTTCCATGTGACATCTTGTTAGCCTGATGAAGCTGGTGCTTGCTCCACCCAGGCCTCCCAACCTGTGACTGGGAATTATCTCACACTGRACTTCCGGCTGAGGTCCCTCCTGCTCCCTCCCCAGGGTGCTTTGAGGTCGAGCTCAACCTCTCTCCCCTCCACTCCCCTGGGTGATCCCCAACTGCCGCCCGGATTGCCTGAGAGCTAGCTACAGAAGCAAAATAAGACTGCTTCCATGTCAGCCCAGCCTTAATCCTCCCTGATGAAGCGCTAATCCACTGCACACGGCTAAGAACCAACCAACGTGGGCGGATGGGAGTCTCATGTGATTCTGGAGGGTGGGTGCCCTACCCGGGGGCCCCTCTGCAGCTACCACTCTGCCAACACGGGATGTGGCTTTGAGGACGCTGCTGACAGATCAGAAGGGCCCTACTGCTCAAGTCCACATACCTCGTGATCAGAAAACAGATCCTTTCAAACCACTCGAGGAAAGTAGGACTGGTGACAGGGAAAGGGGGAGGGGGTGGGGGCACGACACTGCACACCTTCCAGCAAATGTGCCAAGGGTCAGGAGAAGCCCCAGGCAGCCACAGGACGGGCACCAGGGTATTCACCACCAGATGGCCAGGAAACCACAAAGACCGGCCGCATTTAAAAGGTTTTAAATAAAATCATAAACCAGCCCCGAGACGGCTCTGTCTCACCCACAGCCCTCCCAATCCAAGAAGCTTCAACTACTAAAAAATACTATTAAAAAAAAAAGTTAAAAATAACAATGTGAGAAGTACTAAAGATGACTATGAAGTGGGAGGGTGGGCGTGATTCCATTTCTAGGAACCACAGCCCACGGATGCCAGACCGTCTCATCCCACCCACCCCAGGCACTCAACAATACGTATTAAATTTGAGACAAAGTTTGTTTAAACATTCACATTCCCCCAGGAAATGCACCAATTCACCCAATACACAGAAATTCTGTGGCCGCTTCTGGACTAGTGAGCCCCAGGAACTAGACCAAGTGCCACCAAGCCACCGACCAGGCAATCCCAAGACCATGGCAGGTCAGTCATCAGCTCCATTGACCCCTCTCTGTTCAGAATATGGGTAGAGCTTTCTCCCAGCCAGAAAGGAGAGGTGCCCCATGGACAACCCTTCTGGGAAGGAGGACCAGCTACCTGAGGAGGAAGGCCTGAGACAGAGCAAGAGCCCACGTCTGCCTGCTCACCAGCCTCTCCCTGTACTGGAATTATTACTACTATTTTTGGTGGAGGGGGACCCACAGGTGGAATTCCACCTAGCTGAAGCCACATCTGATCCCACTATGGCCAGAGAGGATGGACACCACTTCAACAAGGCCCTCACAATAAGATGACAACTCCTCTGTCATTAGCATCCATGGAATGCCTACTGTGTGCCCAACCCCAAGGGGCGCTATTCAACTGGGATGACATCACATCACAGACCCGRAAATGCAGGGGTGAGGGTTTTGTCCAAGGTCATCGGACTTGGATGCAGCAGTGTTGGGAAAGAACCTCCAAACCTGGGGTAGCTCTGCCCTTCTGGTGATAAAAAAGGAAACATGTTTACAAAAGTAATACTGGCAGTTTCTGCTACACCCAAATTCCTAAATCCAAACAGGACTACACAGAGGACTGCTAACCGAGAGCTCACAGGGTATCACTAATTTTTCTTAGGTGGATTTCAAAGGCGAGCTCACAGGGCAAGGTGGCAGTGGAAGATAGTCCCACGGGGTGCCGCCTCCACGTCACACCTTCTTGTGTGGCGATCGCCCAAACTACACAGCCTTGGCTCTGAAATTTGCCAAATATTATGATAGAGGTTTTCTTTATTCTCTGTTAGGCAGAAACACCTGAGTGAACCTGAACTGTCTTTTTTTTTTTTTTTAAACACATTGGGGTCTTTCAGAAAGAGTTACTGTCCTGAAATATCTCACACTGACTACGAAAGGCAAGAGGGGACCAATTTTGGAAAGACTCTCAAATCCTACTGACTTCTTAATCCTGCCAGGATCCTCTCTAGAGGACACTGTACAAAGCAAAAATACAAGTATAAAACTATTTTGAAAATTAAGAAAGACAACCTACACTCTTGCAGACAAAATAAACCCAAGAAAGAATACCCAAGAAAGAATTAATCTTGGAGGAGGACCAAATGGGCAACTCAGGGTTACAAGCTCACTCTTGAATGCGCGGTGCAATGGCAGGCAAAAATTCACAACCACAGAGGCCTCTGTGGAGAAGGGTCCTGACAGTTCCAAAAGAGTGGGGAGAAGAACAAGAACGGGACCAGCGCCGGCTCACTGGAGCAGCCCCCGACCAAGCCCAACACATGTTTTGTGCCTGATGGGGACTGTCAGATTGGAAAAGGCCAAGCTGAGGGGCCATCACTTAAAAAAGGGAGACTAGGCGGAATCAGCGAATCTCAAGGTCAGGCCAATAAGAAAGTCGCCTAGCTCAAAGGCCTGTCCATTGACAGCTGAGTGGTTCCCTGCCCACGAGGTGGACAGACGCTGCCAGGTTGGTCCAAAGCCTCCTAGGAGACGGTTTGTGCTCAGAAGTCCGCCAGTCCCCGCCTGGGGCGCTGTGGAGAGCTGCCTAGGGCTTCCACCCTGAGCGCAGGGGGAAATGAGAAGCTCCCCAGGAGGTTTTCCTGCACCTCCCCAGGGAGGAGGCTGAGGTTAGTGGGTTATGCACTGCTTTCCAGCAGAGAGGAGGCCAAGAATAGGCCCAGACACACCCGCTTCCTACTTTTAAATGTGGACAGCCTGTGTGTATTTTTTGGAGGTTTCCGTCAAGAATAAGTGTTCTAAAATTTAAATTTAAAAAGTGCCTTCTGCCTGTAAAACAATATTCCTTTTAAGAAGCCCCAGCCCCCACCCCCACCCCTACCAAAGCAATTTACTTACTCATCTAAGGCGGGGGAGCCCCAAAGGAGGAAGAAGCCACAGGAAGTCTGGCGGCCCTCATCCAACCCTCCTCAGCACCACACAGACACAAACAGAAAGCAGAACCCTGCAGACACCACTGCAACCAGCAGAGGGACCAGTGCAAACTCCCAGGCTCAAGCACTAATGCCACTTTCCAAGGAGAGCAGTGAGCCAGGTGTACCTTACCCATCCAGCCCCTTGCAAAGGGCTGCACTCTAAGCAGACAGCCCTGGTRTGACTCGCCCCGGACTTCAGGCCCACTTCTCCCACTCCACCACGGARCTCTGGGAAGCGTGTTGCAGAGATTAGCCCTCATTCCCACTCACCAAGGGGCAAAGAGCCTGTCTAGAAGCATCTGGTGAACAGACATGCAGAGACCCCACATCCAGTGGGACAGCTGCGGGCAGAGGGCACATCTCACTAGAACTGCAGGCTGCAAAGGCCACTCAGATCCTGGGGAGCTCCTGCCCACAGCTGGTGTCCAGCTCACACCCCTTCCCTCCTCTAGCACCAACACTTCCTGCAGCTCCCCGACCTCAGGCTCTCTCAGGCTCCTCGCCCCTCCACACTCCACTGTTCAATGCTTCCTCCTCAGAACTGGGCTCAGGACAGAAATTCCAGAATGTCATTCTTCCCGTTTGGTTTAGATGCTCCTATCATTCCACAACCACCAGGACCCAGCTCAAGTAACCCTCCACCACGAAGCCTTCTTGTTCGACTTTGTCACTCACTTTGTTCCCAGTTCAGATAAATCACCATCTACTGAGATGACAAATTCTCCCCAAGAACAATTCCGGGGATCTAGCTGCAGAGACAGGCCATGATCTCTCACGGGGGCTCGGAGCCTGCTCCCCCACCCCCACGTGGCCTTCGGAAGCTCAACACTTGCTTTTCATTTCATTTGACTTGTGGGCCGTCAGCCAACCTGCCCTGCAAGGTACTGTTTGAGGCATAGAGTATTCAAGGTGATGGACAGTCCCTGACCTCAAGGAAGGTACAGCTGGGTGGGAAAATGACAGACACCTGCATATGGTCCCCCTCCCCAGGACCGCTTAGTGGTCCGAATCTATGTGCACGAGGAAGCCCAAGCAGATCCAGTCACAGGCACCAGCAGGGCCTGGGCTGCAGCAGCCTCCTTCCTCACAGTGAAGCATGACCCCTCACCCCACTCAGTTTTGGGAGGATCTGCTTCCCTCTTTCCAAGGTTATCAGTTCCTTTTGATGCCAGCTGAGTGAGAGACATGGAGAGAGGAAAACCCACTGTACCCCAATGCGTATCAGCATCCAGGACACTTCCCCGGACAGATTACCTCCCAGTCCAGCTGGGGGAGCGCAAGTCTCAGGGCGCAGGTGATGTTCAGGACACTTATGAAATAATGGCCTGATGGACTTGGTAGAAAGCAGTCAAGAACAAGGAGTCTCACTGTACACACTCTAAACACTCGTAGGTTCTGAGATAGCACAGAGAGGGCAGGACACCGGCAGCCACGCATGTTTATCTCTGGGTTCTAGTTCACTCCAAGGACTTGGGAAGGCATGCGAGCCCAGAACACTCTTCGCATTTGGGTGGGGCACTGTCTGCAGGGTGACTGCTGCCCCCAAACGAAACGTAAGCAGGGACTTTGCTGGTTCTTAGGAGGAAAACGGACACTCAGAGCTTAGAAGCGCCATGACTAGGAACAAACAGAGAGCAGGAGGCACTGTGCTGGGCCAGGAGCATA